AAAGTTCACTTCGTGCCGCAGAGAAAATAACTCAAATCTTTATATATTATGTTGTTCAGTGTTGACAAATAGGATTCCAAGTACAAAAACCATTTCTTCAGAGCTAAACTAAATCGAGCAATGCAGAGAAACTACTCTTATAATTTCCTCGAGGTTAAGATACATTCAAGTAGAGATGATCCACCAGAAACAGCAAAAACGAATCACGTTCCATCAATTTCATCTGGGAAAAGGAGAACTTTTTGTTACCAAACTATGCTTGTCAAACTAAATCAAAATCAGTTAAAATACATGCATGAAATTAGTAACATCTGCTATGGATACAAGCCAGATTTAAAGTGAAACTGTGTATTAAACTTTATTCATTCCTCAAAAGAGTGAACTTTGCGTTTTACATCCAAAAGAATAGTACAAACTTGAAACTTAAGACAGATAATGAATGACCAAACTAAGGTACAATTAGCATGTAGAACGGGGTAGAAGATATATTAAACGCCTACAAAAACAGATACATTTCATTTAGGATGCTAACAAGCTTTCAAACTTCAGAATAAGACACTGAAGCATTTTTTGAGGATCTCTAATTGTCCCAGTATATTCTTTCATTCTTTTGGAAACTCATGTGCCTGCAGGAACCAAATATTCCAATCAGAATACCAGATAGCTCACCACTCCTTCCACTCAAAAAAAATGCAGGGCAATTTTTTATTTAATCAAAGGGGTTCTTGAATATACTTGGTAACAATAATTTTGTAGTGATGAGAACTAAAGAGTTCTATCTTATTAGATGTGTTCAAAATAGCAAAGATGTTACATAAACCACTAAAGTTGGAAACAAAGCCATTCTAGAACACAATCAAATAAGTCAATTATGGTCACTTCTAACCTCAGCCACATAAATGGCTCCTTGTTGTATGGTTTCACCAAGAAGCAACTTTATAGTTTTGAGTAAGGCACAACCACTACAAAACATGAAAATTAGCTAGTTTTAATGAGAAAGGACTCTTTCTTTTAAGACAAAGAGTGTCAGACTCTTTTTATGGAGCAAAGAGATTATCATAGAAGAAACAGTGAAATGTTTTCCATATGAACTCAGAAGTTACCATACTCATAAAAGACCTACCTCAATATCACGAATATCTTCATGACAACAAACTATGACAGGTATCATGTTCACAAACACATTGTACAAGTTCTCAATTCAGAAAATAATTTTTACTACCGAACGGCTACTAACCTGACAGTTTTTATTGAAAAAACAACTTATGTAGAAGAGGGAATATCATAGAAGAAACATTTAAGCATTTTCTATAGGAACTCAGATGTTACCATACTGACACAAGGCCACATTCTTAGGAAAATTTTCATCACACACAACTATGACATGTATCATGTTCGCAAACAGCCAAACACATTGTACAAGTTGTCAATTCAGAAAACAAAATTTTACTACCGAAAGACTACTAAGCAGGGCAGTTTTCATTGAAAAAAAACTTTCATTTTCTCAAATTGTGAAAAGCAAAAGCTCACTTCTCCGGAGATACAAACATAGCAAATGCAGAAGGCAGGATTTTTATTATAAAAAAATCCATGATTAAAAAAGAACATACTTTCTTTTGTAATTTGGGAGTAATAAAAGACATGCTAGAGGCCTGGAGAAGTGCAGCAGAGAGTACCCTGTGAAAGAGCCCTAGAATCCCGAGACGTTGAGCTGAGACATGACGTCATCCTCGCCGTAGCAACGGCGGTGTGCAGCGGCAGCATCGACGCGGCGCATCCCAACTCCGACGGGCACCTATCATGCATCAATTCTTCACCGATCCATACAAAGCATTCACCAACCAGTCGTACAATACATTAACATATAAGCGGAGAATATACCTAGAGAAGGAGAATGGTCGAAGCGGGGAGGAAGCGGATCTGGACGGGAGGGAGGAGGCGTGGAACGACGACGTCTTGGGCGATTGAAATTCGGGCTTAATCGCAGATCTGACAGATGAAAGAGAAGCTCGATTAATGATTCTGCTGCATCTGGAAGCCATTTTCGAGCAATCTGTAGAAGCTGAAATTGGAAGATTTGGATGTATTGAAGATGACGATGACGATGATGGGAGACCGAGGCTTATTTACTAGGGTTTAGGGGTTTACTTCAAAGAAGAGGCCCGTTTGGTTATTCCTTTGCCCAAAACTCAAAAATGAAGATGGAGATTTCCATTGTTATAGGTACATTTTTCAATAGTTTCAATATTTAACTTTTATATCTTAAAAAAATTATTTAATACGAGTAATATTTTTAACATTTAATTTTAATATTTTAAAATCATTATACAAGGGTAATAGATTATTTTAACATTTTCAAAAGTCTATTGCACCGTTAATAAACTTCACATGCTAATAGTAATAAAAAACGTCGTTTCGAAATAAAGCTTTATTACTATATGCATTTACGCGGCTGAGCAAAAAAAAGTTACCCATTTGAACAACGAGAAAGCGATTCAAAAAATCAGGTGATTAATTCACAATTTTTGAAATTTTCTAAATCGATGAACTGAATCAAGAAAACGTGGCACTCCACATCGTGAATCCGGTTTCTAATTTGGAGAATCAATGAACGGTTAATTGGAATTTTTAGTATATAAAACAATATATTCTCCGTCTCTAAATTGATTTCAAGGAAGCCAAAGCAAAGAAAAACTCAAGTTTTTTAATACAATTTTTAAATATAAATTGTCATAATAAATAAATACAAAAACTTGTACATTTAAAAAATAAAACCTAGTCGTATATGTTTGTTACCGTAATATAAATTATCCGCTTGTAATTTTTTCTTTTGAAATAAAATATGGATCACTCATCTTTATGATTGTATATAAAGGTCAACAATATGAAATTACTTGTAAATTACAAACAAAAGATTATAACGTAGGGAGTACATTGGATGATTGGTTAACCGAAAGCACAATTAGCTGAACTAAAAAACCGATTAGTCGAAATTTTTCAGACTCATTCGGATTCACCATTTTTTGGTCAACCAAATCTTTGATTCACCAAAACATGGTTTATTGATAGTATTTCCGACACGATTTTTGTGATACAACATAAGGGAGAGCCACACCCTAAAAGCTAGCTGTTAAGGTGTGAGAACCTTGGCCATATAAACTCATCATCAAATCCTTCATTTGACCGGTGTGGGACAATAAAATTAGTTCGTATCATTTTGATTGACAATATTGTCGAATCAAAATACACAAAATCTAGTTAACAAAATATAGTAACTGAAAAAAAAGAAAAAAGAAGTCATAATTCCACAATTAAATCATCCCAAAAAAATGATACAGTTACAAAAAATTACATATCTTTATGTTTATTTATAGGTTTTTATCAATTACTCTTTCTGTCTAAAAATTATCTTTCCGTTTACTAATCTCAGCAGCAAAATTTATTCACTTTACTGACATTTTTTCATTACAGATTTGATGAAATAATATAGTCATATCATCTCTAATTTTATATATCTTATTATGTACTCCGTAGTTTTTTGCGAAATAATATGTAAGTTTTACAGATTTTTTTTAAATTTTACATCATTTTTCATATAAAATCATTTAAACATAATTTCTATCAAACATCAAAATGCATAACAAGAAGATAACTTTTGGATGGTGCTATCTTTTTTTAAAACTATTGACATAATTTTTAAGTATGTAAATTTTATTTTTTATTTCTATACCAATCATTGAATAAAATAAATTGAAAAGGCGGAAATTTAGCTTCATTTTGCATATTGTGATAAATATTTTGGAACAAAGAGAGTACATTACTATAGATTCAATAGTGCCATAAAAAACTACAGAGTACTAAGGTCCTGTACTCTTTACTTGATCGGATTAGTTCTGATACGATGAAAATAAGTTCTAATCTGATCTAATCTAGTACTCCATGATTTAAATGTAATTATATTTAAAATTATTTCTGAAAAAAGCTCCCATTTTGATATGAGAATTTATGTCTTGAGGACAAATTTGGATGGGTAACACTTGGGTTGCCCTTACATTATCACATCAAATCAATAACATAAAAGGTCTATACATAAGTATATTCTTCAGAGTTCCGAGTTTGGCCCTCTAATAATTGAAACCAAATTTGAATGGATAAATCCCATTTTATCACCAAAACCTGACTTCAATCTGTGCGACCACGATAATGATTGTCTACATATTTAGTTCCAATCTAGATGGGGCCTATTAAATTTGGTTCCACCAGATGGAGCTATATAAACAATATTGTAGAAAATAACCCAAACCAAAACTAAAATTGTCAATCCTAAGAATCAAAATAACCCGACCCGCGGGTAGAATCAATGAAACATTAATCTAGTGAATAATAGTAACCCTAAAAAATAAAATTGGAAGGGGAGAATTTCGCAAAAAAAAAAAAGAAAAAAGGAAGACAAGTGATAACCACCAAAGTACAAGAATGCACCAATTCCCTCCATAAACAAAACTATAGAGGGAGTGGTGCATCCTACAACTAATGCACCAACCAACCAAGTGAGAACTTTTTCACATTGAAAATTTTAACCCGCTCTACAATGATAAATAAATAAAAATATACAAAAACTGCTCTATGCTATGCTAGAGAGAATCACAGTTTAGCATATTGGGTATTATTAGTTTTACATTCTAAAAGGCCCCCTATTAGCCATGGTGATGGCTATTTACCTGTCAATGAAACCATATATTATGTTTACTTCATTACCTCATAAGACAATGAAAGAAGAAGAAGTCTTGCCCTTAGAACTAGAGTGGAGGATGTTGAATGAACCTGATAAGACCAGTTATTTGTTTTTAACCTTTGGATGTAGGACCCCTATTGTGGCTCTTGACAACTTTATCATGTGAAACAGAAGGGAGCTTTGGGAGGATCAGTGAGCTCTGCAAGCCTTCCAATAACTGCAAATCAGTAAGTTAATAAATGTCACCAATAAAAAAGTGGAAAGAAACAAAAAAAAAATACCAAATGGCCAAATTTCGATTCATTATTGATTCATACAGTACATTACAACATTCTGCTTAAAGATTAAAGGTCAGGGGAGGGTGTGTAAAACAGCTTAAACAATAGAAGAAAAGTAAGCCCAGCTTCATGTGGCAAGAACAAATAATCAAAGCACTGCAGATTTCAATGTAAAACACACACAAACGCGCGCACACACACACATATAATAAAGAAAATGCTACCCACTCCTTCCCTCCTCATTATTGTACATTTTTAAAATTGGATAAGGCATGGCCATTAATTACAAACATCTTTCAAAATTGTTTGTTGATTTTACAAAGTATATTATATGCGACTCCAGTACATGTTTTAACAAATTTAAGGCAATGAACTGACACTATAAAGGCATACTCACCCTTGATGTTGGCTGAATCTTGCGGTTCGACCGGCGCGGTTCATTGATTTCAGAAGCTGCTGTGTTGCTCACCATCTCTTGTTTTGCTGACTTCCCGCCAACAGTGGCAGAGTTTCCCCTGTTCGTCCGTTCAGATCTGTTCCTCAATCTTGAACCCTTTTTGGCAACAGGTTCAGCAGGAAAAGCCTTTGACTCAGCTACCTGTTCAGCACTGGGGCCAAATTTAACTGAATCTGAGTGACCTGAATCACTCATCTCGTGACTGGCATCACCAGAGGTAGTTGGAGTTGACCTCAAAAAGTTATCTCTCAAGATCTTGCTTGAAGCAGTGGGTGGTTTCCTAGATCTAAGCGGAGGCTTGGATTTTGATTCAGCCATGAACTTCTTCTCCTTTGGATCATCCATTTTGGAACTATTTCTCCATCCCCCAAAGCCTGATCTCGCTGGAATCCCATATTTTCCTGAATCATTTGTTGAACTGGCAATGGTGGTCTTAACACCCCCCCTGTTTGAATCATAATGTTTGCTTACGTCCATGAACTTCCTCTTTTTTCCAGGTGAAGGAACACCGAAAACTACTTTTGACCGTTGTTTTTGTAGTAACCCAGACCTCATCGTCCTGTGTGGGGCAGGTTTGGGCTTGCTATTTTCATTCCTCAGGCTACCAATATTAAATTTTCTTTCTTCCTCACTTAAAGGGATCAATTTCGGTTCTTCTTCAATTGTATCTAATTCTGGCATATCAATATTTGTGGTGACATTCGCCTTTTCCCTGCTCTCCTCGCTAGTAGCATTTCCCAACTTCATTCTCTTCTCCTTTGGGGTATCGCCCTACAAAACATATCAACCAAATACATAAAATTACTCCCTCTGTTCCTTAAAAAACAAATGGAGAATCTCAATTTTGTGGGCAGAATATGTTTAAAGTTCACATTTGTATGATACTCACCTGAGAAGACTGCTCTTTTCGAGTGAACCACTCAATCCACTCGCCATCCTTCCAAACGAGTCTAGGGCGAAGATTCCACACTCTAACGACAACATTATCTCCGCGAGCTGAAAAGAGCTCTTTTTTCAGCAATCGTGCTTGAGGCTATTTCTGTTGGAAAAATGTGTGTGTGTGTGACATACCTGGAAAATTGACAGTGAATGTAGTTTCATCCTTTTTGTTCTTCTCAATAATGATTCCTTCTCGCCAGCTTCAAATAAGTAGGCATTAGAATTGACCACAAAATTGACAAGGACAAAACCAAATATCAATTAGTCTGTTTCATGAAAAAAGAGTCCTCTTTCACAAGTCTCGACATGTTTTTATCACATAAAAGGATCAAACTTAAAAGAAAATATGTCAGTTTTCACTATATCAAATGCTTTTAAATATTTAAAAAATTGCAAAAAATAAGGTATCTTAGATTTACTTAAACTAACAAATAAATTTGAAAACATATCTATATTTGATGTATTTGTGTTTGGCACATGTCATGAGAAAATAAAGGAAATAATTGTTATATTACAACTTTAGCAAATGAAAAATAAGAAAAGCAATATGAACCCCACAAAATAATTGAGGAAAAGGATAGAGAGAAGAATAAAGTAGGAAAGGGAAAAGTTAGCGGAGAAATTCAAAAGGTGATAATTTTGGAACATACTAAAAAAGAGTGTGTATCTAACAAATGGGACAGAAGGACTTGTAAACAAGGATAGCTTAATCATAAATCAGCTCTATCTAGCGAACCTTTGTTCTTTCCTCATCATGATAGGCAGAGTCTATGAAAGGTGGAAATGATTATAACCAAAAACAAAATTCAAACCGTTGAAATGTGACTGAAGCGTATATGCACATAGATTGATATATACCAGTCATGGATCCAGGCATCAACTTGATCGCCAACAGACCAGGAATAGTGCCTAACTTCTGCCCGTCTTCTCTTCCGGGCACCTTCAGAGTGCACAGCGGTCATAGTTTGTGCAGGACGTATTCTGGGCACCTCATCACCATCTGTACATAAAGGTATCCAATCGTTCGGGTGTCTTAAACCTGAACATCATCCCCCAAAAAATGCATATATGACAACCCATAACTCAAAACTGGAAATTATCCAAACTAAGGGCCAATGACTAAAAAGCATGTGAATTGAAAACCACACACATCCTGCCCCAACAACAAACCAAAAATTAATCACATCACATTCTCTTGGTCAAGCCCAAAACACAAGTCACTCAATCCTGATGTAAAATTTAGGGTTATGAATCTCCAGTGTAATATAATATATCAAACACACGTGATGCTTCTTACCTTTGCCCAATGGGGGTTCGGTGTAAGAGACAAAAGCCTTGCCATCCTTCAAGCTTAACACATTGGCCATGAACCAGGCATCACCACTATCCCTAAAAACCTACATTTGGAGAGAGAGAAAAAAAGATGCACAAGCCATCAGCACGGTAGTTTCTCAGCACTACAAAAATATTGACTTGTAGAATCAATGCTTTCAATCAATACACCTCAACAAGACAGCCTTCTTTGATGTCTTCTCCACTTGTTGAACTTATGCCTTTTCCATGGTCCTCATGAATGGTAGTTAACCTTGACTCCACTTCTGGCATGGGAATCTTGTTCCCACTCATATCCTTTTCAGAGCATCCCTTTGATGGCGATATATCATCCTCTACCTCAACATTTCCTTTCATTGTATTAGTAGAACCTTCTTCTACCCCAATACTTACTTCCACTGGTATTGACAATGGGCCCATTGTCAGGGCCTGTAATGCCTTCCTAGGACCCTCGGCTTTCTCTAGGAAACCGTCGGATGACTTTTCAAATCCATCAAAATCGGATTTCCCATTATTTGATTTCACACAATGCTCTCCAGGTGCTTTGGGAACTTTCCAGTAACCATCAGGACCTGCTTCAACTAATTCACTTAAC